GGCTCTAATGCTGTTTTTGCTACCCATTAGTACAGTAGTGTGTCTGTGGTAGTTATTGAACATATTGTGTCCCTTCTTTCTCAATTTTCCCAGGAGTTAATAGTAGCAAATAGCATAGGTAATTTGTCAAGACAAAATACGTTAGTAGATGTAAAGCACCAAAACCCAAGCACCCAATAATATGCAACTATTATCTTGGTATAGGTAATATTGCACACAGCTTAAGAAAATTGAATTACTTTTATTAAAAACTGAACAGCTTTTACTTATGAGAATTATGCATTAAAGCCTTTTATAAAGTGAAATTAAATTACTTTTTATTGAGCTATATTAAAATACTTTCAGTATAGCTTGTGTCTTATTTGTAAGAGGCTACTGAGTGTTTTCATACATGCAACTTGTGAGAAATCTAATTTATCACTGTCTTTTTAATGACAATAGTTAAATCTTTCACTCCTGAAGAGTAAGTAGTGACTTTGTGAGTTATTAACCTGAAAGCCATGGAGTTGTACCTCTTTGTGGGTATATGTGTATGTATATATAAAAATGTCTCCACCTTAGTAAGGTAATTTTTATCCCTAATATGAATAGTCTAACAAGAATTCATTAAAGCCCTCTAGGTCTAATCAGAGCATGATTTTTTAACCAAAACGACTAAAAGTTGTAGTTTTATCATTTCTAACTGATATCAAGGTTAAAGTGGAAATTCTAATTTGTGAAAAAGTCAAATAATGTAATATAATTTTGGAAAAACAGAACAATGTGTTGTTCTTTTTTTCTTCTGTTAAGAGAAAACAATAATTAAACCAGTGTGTGCTGCTAACATTTTGAATCATACAAGTTCCCATAAAATGTTTGACATCTGTATTGTTACATTACACCAGTTAATGTAGCCTTCTGGTCCCCTGTGCTTGCTTGCTTGCTTGCTTTCTTTCTTTCTTTCTTTCTTTCTTTCTTTAACCTGGGAAAGCTTCCTGTGGTCTAGTGGTAAAGGGACAGGGACACTGTGATGTTCTGGTACCTAATTTAAATGATCAAGTTAATCGAGCTACAGCACCATGTTACAATATTTCAGATTTCCAAATCTCATTATTTAAATGAATAGATTCTTGTATACTCTGAAGTATTTTTGTCTGCATGTGAAAAGCTCTAAATTCAAACTGTCACTAAAATGTGAGAGGAGGAAGCTGAGGAGTTCTAGCTGGGAAATTACTACAGCAGACTAGTTTTTGGGTTACTTTCACTGAAGTTTAGTATAATATTTCTCAACCTTTCCACTATTGACATTTGGGGCCAGGTAATTATTCATGGTGGAGGGCTGTCCTGTGCATTATAGGATATTTTGTAGCAACCCTATTTTCAAGTTACTGGAAGTTATTATTCCTAGTAGTGATGACCAATGTGTCTCTAGGTATTGCTAAATGTCAGGAGTTGGGGGAGTCTTTCTGAGCAGACATAGCATCCTCAGATTTGCAAGTGTATAACCTGCATACTACTAGAGCAGTCAGAGAAAACCAGTTTTCTGGAAGTAAATTCACCCTACACTTATAGTTAATCCTGAGTTCCACTTCATTAATGTTCAGAGGAAAATATTCCTTTTAATCACTCCAGACTGATTACTGCTGAGTCCATTCACCTGGTGTCAAGACTATTGAAGACCAAACGGGGAGTAAACAAACAGCATGGCAAACCTGAAATTGGACTTTACGGTCCTTGAGAGAGATTTAATTCGTGCTATTATAGTGTGTGATGAAATTCCTATTCCCCAGACCTGAAGGAATAATAATAATAGCCAGAGGGTTCTTACATCCTACATCTAGACCTCAGCTTGCTTTGTAAATATCAGTTCTTCCATAATGAGATGAACAAATGAGCCAAATTCCACGACAAAATGACCTCATCTGCAAGATAATAATAGTTCCTCAAGGAGGAGGAGTCAAAATAAGTTAGTGCAGGTGACATGATTATGAGTTTTTAGCACAAAGTGCTTGCTAATTGTGAATACTAAGCTCTCTTATTGCTAAAGAAACACATGCAAGATTATAAGCTCATAGTAAAGAATAGTGCCGTGGAGTCACCAAGGTGAAGTGGAATTTTACCAAATATTGGAAGTTCCCTAGCTACCACTGAATGATCCATTTCTCACACTACATGTCCCTCTTCCCCTAAGCAGGAAAAGTACCCCTTCTCTCATTTTAATTCCATTCTTTTAAAGGTAAAAGTGGAACAGTATTGATTCTCAATTTATAGTTGGCGAAAACAAATGGGCAATAAATATATGCCCTCTAGACTAATTGTGCCAGAGAGGCATTTTCTATTTAAAATATCGATTGAAATCTGCATAATTGATTGTGAAATTCAGTTAAACATCCTTTTTCATCACACACCTGCATACTGATAAAGATCCAAAATTCACTGATACTCTAGTGAACACGGGACACATATGCACACCCTCCTGTGTGTGGGACATACACTCCACGTATGTTTACACACGCACACACACACACACATACACACTCACACTATCTTCACAATATATAAAATGGCTTTGGCTGTTGCTTCTCTAATTGGGTATAATTAGAATTTCTTTCAACTCTCTATGGATTGAATGTCTCTTTATGTATATACTCCTTAATACTTGAATTACAAGTAGATTGGCTTCTGTTAGTACTTAAGCCGATCAATAGACATGCAGAAACTGTCTTTCTAAGAGTTAGTTAAAAGAATTTAAGGAACAAAAGAAGAAAAAGCAGACTCTAAATGATAATGAGACAATCTTAAAAAACAAAACGCTATTTAGGCAACTTCTTGTGAAAGGTATTCAAGAACAAATTATGCTCAGGCAGAAAGATGTTCATAAAATCTAGTGACTCTAGTAGACTTTGGATTCTTTCAAAATGTTAAATTGCTTACTATCAGTTAAAACATTTGAGACAAAAACCCTACATGATTTTTACTTACCAGTAGATGTTAAATACTAAATATGAAAAGAGAAATGGACAAGAATGGTGATATAGATTATACAGCATTAGCTAAATAAATTGTATATAGTATCATTGTAAACATGGATTAATTATGATAATTTCCCCCTCCATGTACTTTATTAAAAACAATATATTTGACAAAAGAATAGAAGGAAATATATCTGTATATTTTGATATATAACCTTATATGCATGTTGACATATACTTTTGCATTTGTGTGTGTATATACATGTGTGAAACATCATAACTGAATGCAAACTTATGAATTGTCCATCTATACTAAAAATGAAAACATTACCAATCCACCTCATTAATTTGTATATTCTCCTCCTACCTCGATACTACCTTCCCCCCAAAATAAACACCTTCTCAAGTTTGATTTTCATTTTTGTCTTAAAATAGTTTTCTTAAAGTCATGTTTCCAAGTGACATATTACTTAGCTTTGCTGTTTAAGATTCTCAGAAGTATTCTTACATATTATATGGTCTTCTGTAACTCAGTTACTTTATTAGAAATTTTGTTCCCAAGATCTAAGCTTTTTGTTTTGTATTGCTTTAACTTCCTTTTACTGTTGTATATAATTTTACTGTGAATTATAATGTGATTCATTTGTCCGTTAGCCATTGGGCTATGGGTGGTTAATGATTATATTTTGCTTTTCTTAGCAAAGTTATACATGCTTTGGGTGCAGAAATGCAGGTTTTTGAAACTCAGCACTTTGCAACTTTTTCTTTTCATCAGAGACACAGAAATGCATCCACACACATTTACACACACACAATAAAACTGTGTAGGTACAACACGTGTGAGTAAAAAGTCCAAGCTCCTTGAATTCTTGGCTCTTCATGGATAGGCTCTGTCCAGAAGGACCTACTTCTAACACAACTGGTGGAACCTGGCTTATGCAAAAGTTAAGACATGTAAGCTAATTATAAACTGTTCTTATAAGCAATCACTTGCATTTATGTTCCAACCTGCAGTGTGTTGGAGCTTCTCTGGTGTCATTCTGTGGATGATCTGGCTTCATCTGACTTCTTATTTTTTGCTAATTGTCTGAAAAAATAGCACCCAATTGTAGTGCTGAATTACATTTCTTTTTACTAAGTGTGAGTATCAATTTATAATTAGACTCTGTGCTGTGAAATCTGTGGTTGGGCCTTGTACCACTTTTTCTCATCTGTTTCTTAACTGAGTTAAGATGGTTTAGTTTTCATTTGGGATAATGATTGTTACTGGTTCATATGTTTCTTTCTTATATACTTTTGATATTTCTTCTATATGTCCTGAAAGCTTGTATGTGTTTCTATAAATTTCTATGTTTTCACAAGCATTCATATTGGTACAGTATTCTGGCACAATAGTGAAGCAAAAAGTACAAAATGAACAGGTTTATTGAATTGAGGACCTGGAAAGGAGCACACAACCCATGGAGGTTGGGCTGTATCCTTTGACCGGTCCAGAGAGGCAGAGGGTTGTATGATCTCTGACTGGAAGTGGTGCATGGGGCGGATATTGATGATGGTTAGAATTCTCCATGCATGCAAACAGGAAAGGGAGTTGTAATTAGGGCTGAAGAAGAATCAGGAAGTGGTAGGTGTTCTTGCTTTGGCCTTCCACCACGTTAGACCATCACCATAACAGTACAGTAATTTATACTACGGTAAGAACCTTTCATATATTTCATGTATTTTTATGTACTTTGCATTTTGTAATTTTTAAATTTTGCATCTTTTAGAAATGGTATTCTTAATTATAGTATATTTGAATTTATACTTATATCCTTTCATTTATGAGGAAGGATTTAAGATATAACACAATTTTGTAAGGTCATTTTTGTTCTGTTTCCATATCCTATTAAGTTTTTTCTTCTTACTAAACTTACTAGACCGTCCATAGGGTACCCTAGAGAGCTGAGATCCTAGCTTTTGATACTGTATTTGTTTGTTTATTGCATCTGTTGGTTCCATGAAAGCTGGCAGTGCAGCACTAACCAACTGTGCCATTTTCCCCGGCAGATGATTGTGATGATCCTCTGGTGTCTGCTTTGCCCCAGGCATCCTTCAGCAGTTCTTCTGAGCTCTCCAGCAGTCATGGCCCTGGCTTTGCCAGGCTAAATAGAAGAGAGGGTGAGTCTGTCTTTTTCCTCTGTTTGGATCATGGTGAATTGCATTAGTTTTCCATTCTGATTTAATAAAAACATTGTAAGTGCCATGCGATAAAAACAGGTGCATTTCTGAATAAGCCAGGGGTTAAAACTTGTGAGATATATATGACATCTAGCTTCCATTCTGGAATAGCAAAAGGACACCTCTTATTTGGAAAATTTAGTACAATCATTTCAACTTGCAAAGAATTGATTTCCTTCAATTTGGCAAGTTTTTTATATATCACAATAAAATATATTTTCTACAACAGTGTGCAATCATTCTGGAGACTGTACAGATCAAAACAATTGGCTTTCTATTTCACTTTAAAGAAGTTTGCAAGATGTAATTTTAAAAGATGTTTGTTATTTAAAATAACAATCCCTCAGTTTGTTTAATTTTCAATGTGGTTGACTTGATTTTCTTTGCTATTGAGGAATAGCTTGCTTTTTTAGGAATTCCCAGTTCATATTGCTTACTATCTCTTAGGTTGGGTTTGATGTCTTGAACATGTTTAAAAGAAAGGAGGGATAATTAAATGCCACTTGCTGTAGCAGTAAGAGAGAGTTTCAAAACATTGTGTTCTTAGTGACAGAGTATTATAATGAACACCTTTCATAATATGCTAAGGTAAAAATTATCTGCATTCACATTGAGAGAAAAACGCTTGGTGATACGAACATAGAGAATATTTTTAACAGATACCAGAATCATATATTATTAAAAATGTTTCCCTCATTTATTATCTCCTTCTGCATGCCACATTAGTTTCCTTTAAATTTAGCCTTAGTGTTACCTTGGCACTATTGCTTAATGTTCAAGCATGTTGAATTTTGGATGCAACAAATAAATTGTGTACCTGTGTGTATGTGCATGCATGTGCATGCATGGTAACTTTTCCTATCTAGTACACAATATACATATATACATTGTTATAATTCTAATACAGCTCTTTGTGTAACATTTTTACATGATTTTAAGTTTATTTTGAAATTTTATCTCATATAATTTGATATATCCACTCATTTATGCTTCTAAGTGTGAAGATATCAAATGGGAAATATGGGGGCACTTAAATGCATTTATGTTCCTATTAAGTGCCTTGAAGTGACAATTATTTGTCACATGGGGCAGCCTCTTTCTGTTGGAATTTGGAATCCCTGAAGGATCAAGCAAGAAGACTCTCTTAGTCCCCTTGAGGGCTATTTCTTATCCTGTGGTTATCCTTCTACCAACAGTAATGCTGATATCACAGCCCTGACCTGAGAGTAAGGTCTAGATCCTATATTCCTCTTTAAAAGAAAGCAGATTTTAACAGTCACTACAACAAAATGTAGCCCACCAAAATGAATCAAAATTTATCAATGTATCTTTATTCCATTGTTGAGGTCCAATAAATCAGAAAAAATATATTTTATTAATTGGATCGAATCATATTTTTCATTAATTTATGTACTCATCAGGAGTCTCCATCAGTGGAACTCATTTTCATTCTTAATTTGTTTCTATGGTTCTCGCTGAAACACAATATCAAACTTCATGAATCTCATTTGCATGTTAATGAAACTGAGAAACAAAACAGGATCATTTTAATTATCTTTTCTTGGTTGTCAACCTACTTGATTACATTTTTCTTTTTTATTTAGTTTTTCTTTTTTTCCCTATTAATTACATGAAGTACTCATAAAGAAATGTCAGATTTTGAGTGATTTATTACTAAAGGCTGTATATTACTTCTAGTATTGAAACATTCCTTGTAGTGTTTAGGAATGCAAAGATGTCCAGCTAAGTCACTAGGTCATGTATAAATACCTAAGCCAACAATGGAAGATCTCACTATCCCAGTACAGAGCAACTTCTTTCCTGAGGAGTCAGGAAAACTGGCCAAGAATGGTCTGGTAGAGTGGGAAGAACAGCCCATTTGTTTGACAGATGGGATAACTTTGACAGTTTGGATAAGAAGTCCCAGGGATTACCCTGTGAAAATGATAGGCCCCCTGTAAGGATGGAAGGGAACCAGAAAAAGGCTACTGTTTGACATGATTCCATTTCAACCAACAGGAAGGAAGAGAAACTTACATTTTTGAGTTGTACTAATTTATACTAATTCAGTTTTTAATTTATACTAATTCTTGAGTGCTATTGTGGGTTGAATTGTATACTCAAAAAAATGATACATTTAAGTCTTATCCTGAGACCCATGGATATGACCCCAATCTGGACATAGGGTCATATGTGATATAATCAAGTGAAATAAGGTTATGCCAGAGAAGGTTGGCCCTAAAAACAATGAGTGGGGTCTTCATAAGAAGGGACATTTTGAGACCCAGGGAGACAGAGAGAAGATCAGTAAAGATGGGAACAGAAATCAGAAACATGTAGCTGGAAACCAAAACCAAGGATTGACAGCAACCATCAACAGCTAGGATGAAGCAAAGAAGGACTTGTCTGTCAAGCCCACTGGGGAAATGTGGCTCTACTGACCAGCCCCTGGATTTCAACACCATCTATCCTTTAGAACTGTGAGAGAATCACTCTGTTCTTTTAAATTGCTCAATTTATGAGATGTTACTGCAGATATAGAAAACTAGCACAAGTGCTACTAAGCAAATGGCTTCTTTTTCATTAAATAATGCTCCAGAGGAGTGTTTAACTGAAGTAATTTTTGTGAACAAATGATTTACTTCTTTCTAACTGGTAAAATGCACATCAATTTGAACTTGAAAGATTTTATGGCTCAAAAGTAAAATCCAATATTAACTCTAAACAATGCAAACAAAAAGAATAATTACTGCCAATCTTGACAATATAATGGAATCAAATATCTCTCTGTCTTTATATTATAGCTCTCATTTATCCACAACTTTGGTTTTCAAAGCTTCAGTCAGCATGGTATGAAATATCAAGTGGAAAGTTTCATAATGCATAATTCATAAATTTTAACTTGCAGGACTTTCTGAGTTGCATAATGAAATTTCACGTTGTTCCACCTGTGACATGAATCATCCATTTGTCCAGTGTATCCACATCATATGTAGTACCTGCGCATTAGTCACTTGGAAGTCAGCTTGGTTTTCAGATTACCTGTCATGCATGGCAATACTTGTGTGTAAGTCATTGTTATGTGGTAGCCTAATGCTGTATTGCAATCCCTGTATCTTTTGACTCACTTCTCCTTGTCATGCTAGCATTGTGTTATCTCAAAAAATCACAAAAGAAAAAAGGGTAGGACAATGCAATAAATATGAGAGAGACAGAGAGAGAGCATGTGCACATAACTTTTATTACAGTGCATTGTTACAATGGTTGCATTTTATTACTAATTATTGTCAGTCCCTTTGTGCTTAATTTCTGAATCAAATTTCATCACATGTATGTATGCATAGAAAAAAAGTGCAGTGTGCACAGGATTCAGTATTGGAGGTTTTAGGCATCCACTGGGGTTTTTAATGTATTCTGTGAAGATGGGGGTAAGTAATGTATAATTTTCCACTGTTGAAGTTTCGATATTGTTTGAGTTTTAATGGACTGCTTAAAGTTAAGTGTCTTGGTTACTTTTCTTGTTGCTGAGACAAAATATCTGACACCTCACATTAAAGGAAGAATGATTTATTGTAGCTTGAAGTTTATACAGGTTTCAGTTCATAGTCAGCTGGCTCCAAGGCAGGGCAGCATGGGAGAGGGACTTCACAGAGGAGAAACAGTTCATGGTGGGCAGTGGGCAGCAAAACAGAAAGCAACAAACAGTGAAACAGCAAAGTAGCAAGCAAACAGGCAAGCAAGAGCAGCCCTCTTTCTGTCCCTTATATCCCATCCAGGCTACATGCCCTTAGGCAGGCAGCATTCACATGGGGAGGGTGGCGGCTTCTCATCATCTACACCCAGAGCTATGCCAAGCCAATCCTGGGTTATCCAGTTCCACTCACCGTTAATCCCAGTATCACAGACTAGATCCAGTTACCTCTGAAAAGTCCCGCCTGTGACTACATGAGGCTTTGGGGGATCATTTAGACACAAGCCATAACACTAAGCATTCTTTGATTGGTAACTCTTACGATTACCAGTGCAGATTTCAAACAGGTGCTAGTATACTATTTGAGAGCCCACAGGTGTTCTGAGACTGGAATATAAAAAAGACAGATTCTGTAGGACTGTTCCAGAGGTTGTAATATAATCCAAATGAAAGTGTTTATTTTCATGCATTTGGGAACATTAGAAATAGGTTATTGCAAATAGGTTATTGTGATAGACCTGTATGTAGAGGTAAAATAAAGAAAATGATTGTGCATAGCAAAATAAAATATCTATACCATATTTTGAGTATAACACACACACACATATATATCTGCATTTAATTATATAGCAGCATGCTTCTATAACTGACAAATGAGAGTTTTATAATTTAATTTATAAGATTAGAATACTTCCTGTTGCTGCTAAAAGTATGGTATTTGTCTATATATTTTTTTTACCATTGTCTATATTTTATTTTAGCCAAAACTAAGTCTATCTACTCTACTTGTTAAGCAATGTTTTCCTCATACCTATAGAATTTGTTGCTAAAATCAAGTATCTGTATGGAGAGATTAGCTCATTGGTTGATTGATGGAAATAACTCCCACTCTAAGATATACCTGTGGTATGAGTAATTACAACACTCTTCATAGAACTTTTGGTCTCTTTTGCCCTAAATGATTGTTTATTTACATAAAACCATTAAGTTGAAATAAAGACCCAAAGTAAATTTCCAAGTCATACATGATGCCTTAGATTCCCAGAAATAAACAGAATGGGTGCTTCTTTTGAGGTGAATGTTTCCTCCTGTTAAAGACATCACATAACATATTTCACAATAATTACATTCTAAACGTAATCATGTTAATACCCTTACTAGCCAGTACCATATCAAAAGAAGAATGGAAGATGCCTTTTGTACAGGATAGGGAATTCTCAGCGTTGGACATGGGAAGCAGTGGGTGTGG